CCAAGCGGCGGGCCTGGACGGGGGGGGGCCGCTCGGGCTCTGTCCGCTCACTCGCACGTGTCTGATGCTGGCCGGGACCGAGCCTGTCTGCTGTTCCTAATTCCAGCCGAGAGGTAGAACGAGGCAGCCAGCCAGACCCCCGGAGAGACGTGCATGTGAGTGTGGCCGAATCCACGCTCCCCGTGAAGTGGGCAGGGCGACTGCAAGGCGCGGACACGCCGGTCCCGTGTGGTCAGCTGGACGTTCAGCGGCATCCTCGCGACCACTCACTCCGACGGCGACTTCCATCGCTTTGTTGAAAAGATGCTTTTGGCGTTACAACCACCAAGTGTCAAGACCAGGTCTTGTCAAGTTCCTCTCCCCCCAGCAGACGCCCTGTCAAGGCCAGATGTTCAGTCAAACGTAGAGAGGGCGGCTCGTGCCTGGAGGGCTGGGCAGCCAACCTTGCGGTTCAAGTCCCACGCCAGAAGCATGAGTGGGTGCCCAAGACCCTGGAAAGAGGGAGACGGAGGAGGGAGCGCAGCGGGGCCGCCCACAGGTCTTCCTGCTTGTCTCCGGTGAGCACACGTGTCCTCCGATGGACGGACAGAGGAGGGGAGATGCTGCTGAAAGGAGACCATCTCAAAGGGGTGACCGTCTGTCTCTCCCCGAGTCTGTGTACTCGTCAGGAAGACGGGGAGGTTAGGTGAGAAACCACCCCGGGGAGTGGCCATGCTGCAGTCCCTTCTGCCCCATCTCTTCTAGGGACCTTGGGCACACGCACATGCTCAGCATGTTTCTCAAACTGCTGGGTCTAGGATTCGAACCATGCCATCAGCCATGTGGGATCCAGTGCTTTAACCTCCTTGCACCTACTGGTGCTCAAAGGTGTTACTGTGAGAGGGGGCACGGGGACACAGCCAGCGCCTACTGCTGCCTGCCGGGTCTGGGCGTGGTGACACCAGGACCATGAGCACATGGCACCAGACCTTGGTTTACAAACACCGCAGTCCATCCCGAGGGCTCCCAGGGAGTGCTGGTCCCAGGGCCGAGGCAAGGACGATGCAGCAGAACAGAGTGTCCCGTGATGGCCTGAAGGGCGCAAGTCAGCCGAGGCGGGCAGTGTGGGCCTCGGGTAAACACGGGCACTGGTGGGTCCAGCTGAGGCCCACCTGCACAGGCATGGCGAGTGCAAGGAAGGCGGGCACCTCTCTCCTCGGGAGAGCTCCAGCCCCTAACTGCAGGAGGGCAGCAGCAACCCGGCAGGAAGGGAGGGTGCACGGGGCCCAGTGCCCCACGCTCACTGCAGAGGGCGCAGCACTGGGCAGGCGACACACCTGCCTCCGTAGGTCGCGCCATAAGGCCCTCTGGATGGCACGCAGCTGCCCGCCCACGATGGGGCACTCGCTGTGAGGCTCCTAAGGGCTGTGTACCCTGCCCATGATGCCGGATTGGAACGACGCCTGACAGACTAACTTGGTAACAGCAGCCGGGTCCCAGACCAAGGCTCTTTGAGAGCCTCTCAGTTGCGGTGCCTCCGTCTGCACAGGGAGGCGGTCGAGTGGGAGCCGAGCTGGTGCCATTTGGACGTCTGGGGATACTTGGTCTCCGGTTGCACACGCGATTTTCGGAAAACTTGTAACGGATCAAAACGCTTCCGAGACCTGGGTCCAGATAGCAGTGCCACGTCTGCTGGAACGTGGGCCATCCCCAGAACCCGGGCTGTGAGTTGCCTAGGAGGTCACGCATTAGCACAGCCCACAGAGCGAGGCCGGTCGCCACAGACTTCGCCACGCTCGATTCCATCCTGTGCGTGGATGAAGCGGGTGGACGGATCTGAACAGGAAAGGAGTCAAGTTACAACCGCAACGCGGAGACGGAGCTGCTCGGGAGCTCTGAGCACAGGAGCAGCTCGCCCTCGAGAACCTGGGCCCCAGGGACGACTCCGACTTCGAGGCGGTGTGCTCGTGGTGTGGGCTCCCAGGGAGTGCTGGTCCCAGGGCTGAGACAAGGACAACACCAGCTGCGTGTCCGCTGTGTACTGGCGGTATATCCGCAGTGTGCCCACGGTGTGCCCGCGGTGTACCAGCGGTGCCAGCGACGTGCCCGCAATGTACCCGCGGTGTGTCTGCGGTGTGTCTGCAGCGTGCCCGCAGTGTACCAGCGGTGTGTCTGCAGTGTGCCTGCGGTGTGTCTGCAGTGTGTCTGTGGTGTGTCTGCAGTGTGTCTGTGGTGTGTCTGCAGTGTGCCCGCAGTGTACCCACGGTGTGTCTGCAGCGTGCCCACAGTGTGTCTGCGGTGTGCCCGCAGTGTACCAGCGGTGTGTCTGCAGCGTGCCCGCAGTGTGTCTGCGATGTGTCTGCGGTGTGCCCACAGTGTACCAGCGGTGTGTCTGCAGTGTGCCCGCGGTGTGTCTGCGGCATACCCACAATGTGCCCGCGGTGTGTCTGCAGTGTGCCCGCAGTGTACCAGCGGAGTGCCTGAGGTGTGCCCGCGCCTTCCTGGAGGAGGCCTGCCAAGGCTCCTGTGCCCGTGGCCATGGCCGTGCTGGGCTGCAAGACATCCTGCAGGCCCCGGCCTCAGACGTTGTGGATGGAAACAGGTGTGCTTGGCGGGAGAGTAAGTCTCTAGTCCCGACAGCTTATGGGTACGTCTCCTCAAACTAGGAGCACCCCCCGCGTGGCCCCAATTACACGAGGAGGACAAACAGCCTGGAGGACCACAGCAATGGCACCTGGAGCCCCAGTCCACCTCGGAGAGCCCCCTGTGGCGCGGGCCATCAGGATGCACACGCAGTGGCTGCAGGACAGGTGCCACTCACCTGGCCACCTCCCGTCCCTGAACACCCAGGCCTTTGGATGACAGGAGCCCGTCCATGTCAGTCACTGCTCTGGAGGGAGGGGGACGGAACCCAGGCCGCTCATCGTGAGCACTCCGTGTCTCGGTGCACGTTCGCCTTGTCTCTGCTGCGAGGTGGCCAGTGCTTTGCTCCCGTTCGAACCACTTTCCCCACGAGGGCCACTTTTGCCCTGGCAGGCAGTACGGTCATCGAGGGGGTTATGAGCACGTGGGACTCAGGTGTCCGGGGTAGAAGGAAGCTGTGAAGGTCTCAGGCCGAGGTGCGTAAATGTCGCTTTGTTGGAGTATTCTCATCAGCGTTGATAAGTTTATTGGTAAATAAGGTAATTTCTGTGCACTTTGAGCGTGCATTTCAAAATCGGATGGGTACATATGAGAGAAGACTGTTTTCAGAATAAACTGGGGAGTTACAAACATAGAACTGAGAGTTTCAAAAAAATTGCCTCTCAGCCACGAAAGAGGGCAGCCAGGAGGCCGGGGAGAGTGACGGCCCCGTGACGAGCCATCCTGGGAGGGCAAGAGGACAAGGGTGCAGAGGGGACACGTGGCACCACCGAGTCGGTACCAGGCAGAGTTCTGCATCGGGGAGAGCCGAGGGGAAGGAGGCTGGCACAGACACGCGGAACACGCCCAGCTCCTTCGTGGTATCCCGCGAGGCGAAAAGTACTTCGAAATGAAAAGTTGGGGGAGACGAGAACAGAAAGGACCGAGGCGCGTAGGACGCGCGGCTTTAGGAGGTGGCGAGGGGCCTCTGAGCGGCGGCAGGTGCATCTCAGCGACCCCCCCGGGCACGTGACATCAGCGCAGCCACACGGCCCGCTGCAGGGACATGTGACCCTCTGGACACAGCACAGCTCGGCTTAGTCAACACGGGTCATGAGGGCCAGCCCGTGCCTCTGGACCCCGGCAGTGACAGCTCGCTTTTCCATCGTGGCATCTGACAAAGGCCCGTGGCTGAGGCCCCGGCCAGTGTGGCGCGAGGCTGACACAGTGGGCTGGCCCACTCCGTGCAGGGTCTACCACGGCTGGGCTGGGCTCGGTGCCGTGCCGTTCCGCCGCAGGTCCCACCTAGAGACTCGCTTCCGTTGTCCGCGAGCAACCCGGCTTCCCGCCTCTGCCCACGGGGCCGGCTCTCTGTGTCATCACCCTAATCACGCCGCCCCTAGGCGTGCTGGTGCCATGTAACCACCAACAGCACCACACACTCGAGGGCCAGACAGGTGAGGCTTCGCGGACAGCGCCACCACTCACGAGATGGAGCCTGCATTGAGGCCCAGGGTCTGTTCCCGGAACCCTGAACACACCAGGCACAGACGTGTGTACCTGGCGTCCCAGCTGACGGGTATGCTGGGCAGGAGGGTCATGGCACAGCAAGACCCCATCAAAAATACCTGCCCTGGGGGACCAGCAGTTAGTGTCATGGCTATGTCGCTGGACTCCCATGTAGTCGACCATAGTTCGAGTCCCGGACATGGTGGCTTAAACTCATACCGGGCACATGTGCATGATCCTGAGAGGAGAAAGGAGGAGAAGGGATTGTGGCGTGGCCATCTTCCTGGGGGTGATTTCTCGCTTTCTGTCTTTCTGTCTCTCTGTCTCTGTCTTTCTGGCGAGCGCGCGCCAGCAAAAAAACCTCTCAAAAAAAAAAAACAAAAAACCTGCCCTGCCTCCTCCCCTCTCCCCTGCCCCTCAGAGGACAGGAAGTGTGCCGAGCTCACCAAGCCGATGCACTTCTTCAGGATGCTCCACACACTGAAGTCACTCCTCGTGAACATGGGCGCCGGCAAGGCGGTCCTGCGGCAGGGACAGCGTGCCCGTCAGCGTGGCCAAGGGCATAGCCATGGCCTCACACCCGCTCTCCTCGCCAGCGGCCAGCCCCGACCTGCTCAAGACGGGCCCTGAACAGATCAGGGAGGGCTTCCTGGAAGCGGTGACATAACAAAGGCAACTGCTGAGGCTGTGCTATGCCTCCCGGGTGGGGGCCTTGCCCAGGCCCCAGGGCAGCCACGGGGGCAGCTGTTGGGCCAGGCAGAAGCCCCCGAGGGCCTGAGAGCCAGAGTGAAGAAAGCCTCCCTCAGCTTGTCCTGAGACCTGCCCTTCCAGGTGGCTGTCCAGCTGGCCCCGGCCCCACGCCGTCTGGGTCTGTCCTGAGACTGAGCCCCTACCCTGCACAGGGGCACTGGGTGGACGCCACCCCCACTGGGGAGGAAGGCCCTGAGCGAAGGGTTAGATCGGGCATGCTATAATCACTGGCTGCCACCAGGCGCCATGGCAGGGGTGGGCGTCCCAGCTCGTGCTGCACTCACGGCCTCTGGGGGTGCCTGGTGTTCTGCCCAGCTCCCGCTTCATGGGAGCTTCTGCACGAGCAATGGCCGCTGGGCCCCAGAGGGTGACGCGGCAGCCCCTGATTGGCCAGGCTGTGCCACCCCGGCACGTCTCGGCAGGGCATGCTCCGCAGGCCGTGCCAGGCTGCCCACCTCACACATGTACTCCACAAGCATGCTGCAGGCAGCCTGGCACGACCTGCGGCAAGGCGTGCTCCGAGGAGGGCCAGGCTAGGCCCCTGGCCCGTGGCCCTCGTGTGTGTGTGCAGGGGGAGAATAGGACCTGGAGCAGGGAGGACAGTAGGGAGGAGGGTGTCCGCTGTGAAGGGTCCCAGGGCACCACGTCCTGAGGAGGGGCTGGCCCGGAGGTCCAGGCCATGGGGGACTACTGCCCTTGGACAGGGCTGGAGCCACGGCAGGCTCAGTGGGCCAGTGAGGTGTCTGCATGGACCTTCAAGCAGGCACGTGGCCACAGCACAGAGCAGGGCTGGGCTGAGGCACAGGAGCCCTGGGTGCCCAGCAGGCCTCCACCACCCTCAGGTCCCCCGCCACCCCCATCTGGCTAGTCCTGCTATGTCTCAGCTGCTACTGGACAAGACTGAAGACCTCTCAGGGGTCACTGTCCTCCAAGTCTGAGTGACACGGACACAGTGGGGTAGGTGAAGAGCTTTGCAGCACTGAATGGTAGCCCCCTCCTCACGGGCCGGGGCCGGGGCAGGGGCAGGGCAGAGTGACAGGACGTGGAGGGGCCAGGGGCCAGGGGCAGGGCCAGGGGCAGGGGCATAGTGACAGGATGTGGAGGGGCCAAAGCCAGGGGCCAGGGCAGAGTGACAGGACGTGGAGGGGCCAGGGGCCAGGGCTTCACAATAGGACACGGAAGGGCCAGGAGCCAGGACCAGGGGCCAGGGCATGGTGACAGGACGTGGAGGGGCCGAGGGCCAACCACCTGTCTCCCATCTGTACGAGGCCTACAAGGGTCTGCCTTAGGTGGGGGCTGCTCCCAGTGGCCCTCTGAGAGCCGGGGCACCCTGAGGCCTAGTGGGGTCGTTCCAGACGTGCGTGGAAAACCACCGCGGTGCATGGAGTACCTACCTGTGTCTGTGCACCCCGTTCTCCTCGGGGGGCCTCTCCCCGCCTTTCCCAGCCCTACTGCTTTGGCTGGCGTCCACGTCGGTCATTCTGGTGACTTTCCGACTTGCCTCTGAGAAGTCCCCAGAAGAGTGACCAGAATGAAGGCCTGGATGAGACAAGCAGAGTGGGGTCGGCTGGACTCAGGACTCAGTGCCGACCTGCGGGCCCTGACCATGCGAGCAGGTGGCCTGAGCTCCGAGTGCTCCTGGCCACACGGCACGAGCGCCAGCTCTGCTTCCCGAGAGGGTCGGCTGCGGCAGGGTGCAGGAAGGCCCAGGCCAGCATGAACCTGAGACAGCCCTGACGGCCAGAGGTCCCCCCTCGGCCGGACGCTCATATCCCCAAGGAGGCCTCTTCACTGCCCTGGTCGGCCTCGTGGCCTCTCAGGACAGCAGAGGAGCCTGCGCCAGTCCTGCCTTGCTCACACGGCATGGAGCGTCTGGCTGCAGGGCCGGGGTGTCAGGTGGGTGGTCACGGCCGGACACACCCCGAGACAAACCTGCTGCCGAAGAGCACCTTCTCCCACACTCTCTGATGCTGAGAACACTCCCAAACACAGGCTGAGGCCGGTCGTGCAACGACTTTGAGAGGCGGGATTTAAAACGGGCTCTAAATGGCCACTGTTTTCTGAAATAACCTACTGCCTCTAGTTTTTGCTATCCGCCCCAAAGCAGCACCTGCTTAATCTTCAGCCTCAAGGTATCCAAAACATCACCTGCCTACTTGGGCAAGAAAAGGGAAAATACTGAAAGGCGAAGGAGGGCCACGAGCGCCCCTCTGATCTGGCTGTGCAGAAACGCCTAGGTCAACTGCTCGCTCTGCTCCTGCAGACCTACCCGCCCACACCGCCCGTCCTTCGGAGCCTCCCGTCAGCCGGGCTGCTTCCAGGGCACGGACTTTTACTGAAGTGCCCTGTCCAGTCTCTGCTCGGCTTAAATACTTGAGCGCCGGAGCCCTGAGTCAGATCAACACCCCAGGGTGTACCACAGGGCCCTGCCCGCCGCGGCCACTGCGGCCCGTGTCCCCTGTGGCCACTGCGGTGCGCTAAGAGCATCGGCACCTTCCTGCTCTAGCCCACAGAGCCAAAGGACCAAGGTGAGATGTCCTTTCCAGCCAACACCAGCGACCCACTGACAGGGACAGGCGGGGGGACAGTCGGGCAGACCCTCATGAAGCCGTTGTCCCTGAGGAGAAATCAGAAAGTTTAGGGGTGCTGGGAGAACAAATGCTCAGGCTGGTCTCCAGAAGAAAGGGGACTTCCTGTGAGAGCCCAGAAGAGGCATGCTAAGACCTGGCTCTCAGTGACGGCCTGTCATGCGGGCAGGTGCCCCGGGGCGTGATGACCTATGACCCTACCCCTGAGAAGGAGCTCGCCGGGAAGGGCTACCGGGGGCATGCGGGCATGCGCGCTCGTTAGACACACATCTCCCCAGAGCGTGTGCAAAGGGAGCGGATCAGGACGGTGCCACTGGGTTGTGGGGGGACTGCGGCGTCCTTCAGCTGTGGGATGGCAGGGTGCCCAGCGCCCCCACTCCTCAGATTCTGGGTGGAGTGGGTGGATCATCTCGGGCTGCAGGCGGCAGACCCGGGCCACCCACATGCAGGAGCACGGCCAGAGGACACTCAGCACCACAGGTCAGCCAGGTCCCGGCAGGGCTGCTGGCGTTTGTGCACAGGGAGTGGACGTCAGTCAGGAAGGAGCCTGGTGTGACAGTGACCTGGGGGCCCTCCGCAGGTCGCGGCTGGGAGTGGGCCTGCAGGGTGCTCTGAAAATGGACATGGCCGTCTCCATGTTCCTACACGTCAGGACGAGGACGGCACTGGAAGTGCCTCTAAAGTCCTGTCCTCCAGCAGCAGCCCCCCAAAGACAGACCCTGTTCCAGACCCTGACTCTGAGACAGAGCAGAGGACAGGCGTGAAGTGCCCACGGCACTAACCCTGCAGGGCGTCCTGGCCTCACGGCTCAGGCACCCCTGTTTCTTTCTTTTTTGGGGGGAGGGGTTTGCCATAGAGCAAGTGTATTTGCCAGAGAGACAGAGATTGAGAGACAGTGAGGGAACGTGAGAAATCACCCCCTCAGGGGGATGGCCACACCACAATCCCTTCTCCTTCTGGAATTTTAAGCATGCACACATATGTGCCGGGCATGATTCTCAACTGCCAGGTCCAGGACTCGAACTTCATGTGGGAATCCAGTGTCTCAGCTATCATGCCGACTGCTGGCCTCAAAGCACCCCTTGTTTCTGTAGGGCACTTGGGGCTTCTGTCCAGGGACAGGGCGAAGACTCAGCAGTTCTGGGCAAACATGTGAACATGCCTGCCCTGCCTGTCTGTCATGCTAGTCTGTACACATGCACATGCATGCACATACACACATGCACACATGTAGGTACATGCCCTGCGACACACCCATTCTATCATGGCTGCAGACCACTGCTTCAAGTGGCCATGCAAAAAACAACCCAATCTGAGCCCGTAAGAGCCACCACGGGAACAAACACACTTCCTACTACACATCACTCCAGGCAGGGCAGCACCAGGGATGCTGGGAGACCCATTGTTTCTTGATGGTTGAGTGAAAATAACGTGAGAATACTGACCGCCTTGCCTAGGATCCAGATAGAAATATTTATGCCCCGGGGGAGCCCTTCTCAGACATTAAAGCACTGCTGCCCCTTCATGCTACGCCCTGGGGCCCGAATCCAGGTTTGCCCACAGTTGGAAATAAAGCTGTGCCCTCACTGAGAAGGCAGCGTGGGGTGTCTGCCGTGTGGGTGCTGAGTCCCTCACACCCCAGAGGCTCCAACATCTGGAGCAGTTTCTATTCTCACGCTCGGTCTCGGTCCACTTCCTCTCCACGCACCTGTGACGGCGTCGAAGAACTCCTCCTCGCCGTCCATCGTGCAGGCGCCGGGCCTCCGCCGCCTGGCCTGCGGTCATCTACCAGAGCATAACGTCTAGCCTCCAGCGACAGGGCATGCGCGTTTACACTGCAGGCTTCGTCCTGTGAAAACCCAGGAGACACATTTGGCATGTTGAGCTTTCAGAGTTTCATGATTTAGAAATTTTTTAAAAAGAATTATTTATTTAATTCCATTTGTTATTATTATTTGGAGAGGTTTTTATTTTTTTTGCTGTAGGGCACATGCACTCATCAGAAAGAGAGACAGAAAGTGAGAAATTGCCCCCCAGGAGGGATGGCCACACCGCAATCCCTTCTCCTCTATTCTCCTCTCGGGGTCTTGGGCACATACGTGAGTTTAAGCCACCATGTCAGGGACTTGAACCATAGTCAACTACATGGGAGTCCAGCAACATAGCCATTATGCCAACTGCTATTCCCATTATTATTATTTTTTTTTTTTTTTGAGAGAGAGATTTTTGCTATAGGGTGCATACATTTGCCAGAAAGACAGAAACCACCCTCCTGGGGGATGGCCACACCGCAATCCCTTCTCCATTCTCCTGTCAGGATCGTGGGCACGCACACACATGCGTGCCCCGTGTGAACACACGCGTGCCCTGTGTGAGGTTTAAGCCACCACATCTGGGACTTGAACGGTGGTCGACTACGTGGGAGTCTAGCAATGTAACCATTATGCCATCTGCTGGTCCCTAAACAAATAACTCTTAAGAAACATAAAACCATTCTCTATGTCTGTATAAAAACTATCGAAGCGGATCTGGGGAAAGGTATGTGGGCAGGCCAAGAGAACAGATCATTTCAGTGACACTCCACGCCGGGGACTCGAGCAGGTCCCAGGAGGTTTTGCTGAAAGCCACTCAGGCCGTTATCAAAAGCTAACCCAGTGGTTGGAAGAGCACCACGTTAAGATGTGCTTCCCACCTGCCTGGACAAACACTCCGGCTCTACGGCAGGAGGCTGTGGACATCGCCGCCACTGGGGTTTCCAAGCGGCCTGGCTGTCGGCATCCAGCTCAGCAAGGTGCACGGTGCACAGCTCCTGCACATGCACGCCTGGTCACAGGGAGCCGTGGCTGGAGAACAGCATCTAGGCCACGGCACCCTTGCCCAGAAGGCCTAGCCGTCGGAATGAGCAGAGCCCATACTGGGGCGTGGGCGTGGGTGCCAGCCCAGCGCTCCCTGCATGGTCTGAGAACATGAGGGGCAAGAGTCTCCAGTGAGGAGCATGCCCTCTGTTTTTGGGAGGCCACGTGGCGCTTGGAGACACCCCAAAGGGCTCCTCCCAGGACTCTGCCCCACAGAGGTGCCAGTCCGCAGCTCTGTGATGTGAGCATCTGGCCTATGAAAACACTGGCATCCTGCGAGTCTGTTCCTCCTCTCCCTGAGACCCTTCGCTGTTCCTGTCTCACACTTGAACTCGGCCCAAAGACTGCGACAGGCCGGCATTTCCTCTTCCTCCTTCCCGCGGCCCTGCAGGAGCAGGTGCAGAAACAGCGCCAGGGAGCCAGCCGCAGACGGGGCAGGGGGGCAGGCGCCCCCTCCCCCCCTCCCTGGGGCC